CAATTCTGGACTCTTCTTTCTTGAACCTATTCTGGTTCCGGAGTTGCCTGTGCTCAAGTTGTTAAGTTGGACTCGTTCTTTCTCGGCAGTACTTAAGTGATTAGTGTTATTCGTCCAGTCCCTTTCCGTGCGACTACAGACAGACCCCTGATGATTCCGGTATTGGCGGCCGGATGAAATGCAGCGTAGGGTCGTTGCGCCTGTTCGCAACGATTATCTTACGATGTATATGGCAGGTCTTCACTGATAATTTTTCGGCCATCTGGTCGCGTTTCGGGAATTTCGGGACTTTTGCTTCTCTTCTTTTCCCTTCCCTCGCTTCTATGTCTATATCCTCTCTCTCTCTCTCTCTCTCTCTCTCTCTCTCTCTCTCTCTCTCTCTCTCTCTCTCTCTCTCTCTCTCTTTCTCTCTATCTATCTCTGTCGAATGTGATGAGTTTTCCTGCTTTCAGTAATTTGTATTTTGTTGCTTTGGATGTCGGACTCGCCTATCCAGCAATTCGCGTAGTAACCGCCGTGAAGATAGCATTATGGTAGTGTGGCTGCGTACTGTCTCATCGAACTGAAAGTAGGGATTTGTCACTATTTTTGTCCTACTCATCTTCTTTTCTTTCTTCTTACTTTTTCCTATTTTTCTTCCTTCTTTCCTTTTCTTTTCTCTCTCTGTCTTCTGCCATGGCTGCTCCGGGAAGGGGAGTCTATTTTAACTGTGGCCAACAGGGCCATTGGTCGCGGGAGTGCCCGCATCCTAGGAACTATCAACGGCCACCCGTGGCGACGGGGGCCAATGCCGAACCGATACTGGCTTTACCAGCCGCCGGGGCGCAGGTGGCACCGGCTGCAGCTCGAGCGCCTGTGGAGAATTCGTACGGCGGAGCCCCGCGTACGGGGTGGTGGACGAGGAACCAACAGATACTTGACAAATGTAATGAATTTGTCAGTAAAGCACAGCTGAAGGAAAGGGAGGAAATCGAAGCTGCCGAAAAGGAGAAGCAACGACGGGAGGAGGAGGAGAAGGCGGAGTGAGTGAAGAAGGATAGGCAAGAATTGGAGAATCAGATCGGCCAGCGCTTGGAAAGTAAGTTGGCTCCGATGTACGAAGCCATCATGGGCAAGGGGGTCGGCAAGAGAGAATGACGAATTAAGGACGAAATATGGCATCAAGGAACAGTTGCCGTCCACCAACTTGGTTGATCGGCTACAGCGGGAGAACGCGGACCTGAAGCGTGTCGAGGCCGATATGACGCAGAAGATGGAAGGGGAGCTGGGCGCCTTGAAATGGGAGATTCGTGACCTCAAGGAGGGCCGCGATAACATGGGGAGGAGCGATTTAGCCAAGCAAATTGAGGACCTGCGCATGGAGATGGAGGCTCTGCGCAAACGAAACGAGGAAACGGAGGAGGTCGCGGAGCTATGGAGAAACGAGGCTCTGCGGCTTGGAAACAAGCGAGGTAGTATCAATGTATTTACACCGGCCACCGAAGGACGAACTGCTACTAGGACACGCATCTCGGGGTCTTCGGAGGAAGCGAGGCGCCTGCGAGTGCAACTTTCAGATTTACAGGAACGGAGGAAGTGTGACCAAACTGAAGTGGACATGTTGAAGGAGAGGAGGACTTTGGCCGAAGCAAGGAGGATGGAGGCCGAGAACGAGTTGGTTAGATTACAGGAGCAGCTGGCGCGGCTGACGACGGAGCAAGCCGGGTGCAGCTCCCCTAAGGAGCGGGGCACGAACCTCAAAGAGAGGATGGAGGAGGCGGCAAAAACTGGGTTTCGATCCGGCAAGAAAAGCAAGGTGAAGGCTACACCCGGGAGAATGGCTCGCCCCGACGATGGTATTGCTAAGGCAAACGATCGTTTTGGGTTTCTTCAAGATGAGAGAAAGAGATTCCGGGCTTTGAAGAAGGCGGGTTTGGAGCCGTTATGCCAGGAAGCAGGTATCAAATACAAGACGATGGACATCTCTGTTGAGGAGGTGGCTCAGATCAATGCGGCAAAAATGTTTGGTGAAGACAGTGGACCTAAGGAAGGCGTTCACGGCGATCGCAGCCACGGTAAGATGGTATCTGATGACAGCAACGTTGCGGTCGTAGAGGAAGCCCCGTCGGACTCTGCTTGATGGGACTTCCCGAGCGCGACGATTTGGGGGTTAGCCAAGGCTTGTCGTGATGTTCGTTCTGTCTCTACCTCTTCTCTACGTGATGAGTCATGGAACTCTCTCTTTCAGATTGCGGTGTTGATGTTGGTATTGCGTGGGTGCATTCCGTGGGCGGCGAATTTTCGGACTTACCTGTTGACTATGTTGAAAGAGGATGGCGAGCTGTATCGATGTCGAGGTCCAATTGTGTACGTCCTCACATCTCCTTGGCATAAGCACTGTTATGTAGGTTCCACGGGGCGGTCTCTGGATATTAGGTGGTGCGAGCACGTTTACCGGGCCTGCAATGAAGGCGTCATAGATAGCGGGCAAAGGAATCATAGGCTGTATAACTGGCTGCGCAGATGCTGTCCGGGCCAGTACGTTGCTCTGCCTCTGTTTCGCTGCGATGAACGGGATTTGTTGGCTTTGGAGAGGTTTGTGATTCGGCGTACCAAACCCTTTCTTAACAACAGGGACAAGCTGGTCAAACATAGGAGGTGTCGTCCGGGTAAGCGGGAGCGGGAGAGATGGAGACGGAGGCAGTCGGGTGACAGTGTGAAGACGGTGAGGGTTGATGTGGCTAAGCATGCGCACTTGAACTTCGTGGCACACGAGGGTGATCAGTCAGCCAGTCTGATGGGACTTCTGTCGGATGCACGGTCGTGTGGAAAGAAGGAGCTGACAGCTCGGTGTGTTGGAGGGGGTTTGCTCCTGGACAAATGGAGGGTGATCAAAAAATGCTTTGGGGGTCAATTGTCAAGACTGATTTTGGAATTGGAGCATTGAAGAAGAACCGTGGTTGGCTGGCAAACGGCATAACTTTGAAATTTCGTACCATCTCGTATTTTTGTTCTACTCTGCTATGTATGAAACCCACCCTGCTAGATTTCCTACAGAACCCTCCGTCTCGAAAGCGTCTATCGGGATGGGACCTTGAAAAGATGGTAGGCCTCTACAGTGCCATCAGTTTTAAGGAAAAGAGGACTAGGTACGCTCTTCGCTACGTTCTTTCCAGTGCTGTTCGCAGGAAATTTGGATTCAATGTACGCTCTCGTCTAGTTGTGCGCATTACTTATGACGACTGTCTCTGCAAGAGTGCAATTAGGACCATGTGCTGCGAATTGGTGGACAAGTTGGACTTGCCGGGGTGTATGAAGGATATGGTGGTGAGGCGAATGCGGGTGGTGTGGGTCAAGAAACGGAGTGTTGGTGATGTTTTGTTCAACTTCCGATTTTCGTCCAGGCAGCTAGAGTTGTCGTGTCAATGTGCTGAGGCTGATGAGGTTTTTCCGCGTGTAAAGGGGCACGCCTATTTTCGTATGGCTGAGGTTGACTTCGTTCCGATTGCTCTGAAAAACTATCGCAATATCCCCAGTCCGTCACATGTCACCTCTCGCCGCAACTTGGTGAGGCAGGTGATTACTTCGTTTGGCCTGTCTAGCCTGTTACCTACCCTGCATGAGGATGCTTTTGATAAAGGCACGATTGACTGCTGCTTCAACAAGACGGTGAGGAGGGACAGCCCGGTCTCGCAGAGTATCGATACGGTGTTGAGATGGAGGGAAAAGTTTGGGGAGTTGGTGAGATGTCCTATCGATCACAATGCTGGTGATTCCCTTGTCTGTTGTCATGTGATCTATCAGAGTGGTATGAACAAGTTGTTCTTGCGTAACCCAGGCTTCGTGATACGTGAAGATGAGGATGAGGTGATCCGTGGGTGTGCTTTAAGATACAAGGAGGGGAAGTTTGATCGGCTGGGTAAATGGAACCGTGCGGGGAGCTTGGGGCAGGCATATTCGATCTCGAAGCACAAAGATATCACTAAGTGGCATCCCATTTGCCCGACGCACTCTGAGTGTGGGGTGTCAGCCAGCAAGAAGATTGCTCGAGCGATTAACCAACTGCTGTGGGAGTTGCTGTGCGAGACGAACTTCAACCTGCGGAGCATGGCGGATTTGGTTTTGTCCCTACGTGAGATTAATGGGGAGCTAAAGCAAGGTGAACGATTTCTCAGCATGGTGTTTGACATCAAAGAGATGTTTTGTAATTTGCCACATGAATCTATCCTGAGAGCCGTCCGGTGGGTTGTTGACTTCTGGGAAATCCGAGGCTGCAAAGGCGTGCTGATAAGGAGGAAGGGGACAGGTGCGAAACTCCAATTTGTGGAATCCGTTATTGGCTGGAGATCGGTTTCTTTTGAGACCATCTATGCTTTTGTAGAGTTCGATTTAAGGTGCACGTTCTTCAAAGCTTCTGGTCAAGTCCTGCGGCAGAAGGTAGGCATTCCGATGGGGAAGTCGTCTAGTCCGGCATTGGCGTGTCTGCTGTGCTCCTTCAACGAATTTTTGTTCCTGTCCTCTCTCGGTAGTGATAGGAGACTGGTGGGTGGGGTTCGAATGGTGGACGACGTGTCAATCATGGTTAGATACAAACAGGGTGATTGGACATCTATGCGGGATGCAGAGTCTATTCTGGTGGAATTCGAATCCTGCTACGATAGTAATCTAATCTTGGAGCGCACCAGTGATGCTGACTGCTGGGATTTTCTCGGCTGTATTCTAAAGACTCTGGAATGGCCTTGGGGTATTCAGTGTGTCGCTTTGCACAAAAATCAGCGAAGATACAACGAGGACGGCTTGCGATTCCAGAACCTGCAGGACTTCGATTCGTTCTGCAGCCGGCAGCAAAAGAAGGCGGTGATCGGCTCTTGCCTGCACAGAGCCAAGGCACTCACAACAATGCAGGGTACGGAGGTGGCCTTTCTATTCACCTTAAAGGTTGAGCTCAGAAAGAGGAACTTCCCTGACGCATATTTTGATGATGTTCTACACAACTTCTCAGGGAAGCTTGGGGGAATCTGGGCCGACTGGGTGCATTGTTTGACGGGGTGGGAACAGCTATCGAGACTGGGAACAAAAAGGTACCCTGGCAGGGGGGTGCATCATGTGAGAGGCAGAGGGCCTGTGGAAATCTCGTAGGGAGTCCGGCATGATATTCGGCATGTAGGGGTATATGAATAGTTTTCAGAGAACTCACCATGAGATGTGTTTGTGAATTTTGTGGGGAAGCGGTCCTTTCGCAGTTTGGCTGCAGGCTGGTGCATATGAGGTCTCAGATGGTAAGGGGTGATTTGGACCCCCACGAGGCCAGGGTTCGCTGGGTGTCGTTGGGCAAGGGGCAATTAGGACCTCCATGAGGTCGGGGTTCATTAGGAGTTGTTTGGTTACTGGGGTCCGCTAGGTGTTGTTGGGGAAGGGGCAATTAGGACCTCCATGAGGTCGGGGTTCACTAGGAGTTGTTTGGCTTGCAGGGGTATCGAAAATATTTTTTCTCGAAGACTCAGGGGTAGTGAAACCGTGGTACAGACTGGCGTTTGAAACAAGTGGCTGCCAATGGAGGGTTGGAGTCCCCCCAACGGATCTTCTGATTTTGATTCTTTTGATTTTTCTGATTTTTTGGTTTTTGTCATTTTATTGTCTGAACTTTGTCTGGTTGGAAGTACGGCCCCTGGCGGGAGTAACCCACGGCTGGAAACGTTTTTTCCGAAACTTCTGTTCTTGATCTCTTTCTAGGCTCGGTGCATCCGGAAACTTCGGCAATTCTGGACTCTTCTTTCTTGAACCTATTCTGGTTCCGGAGTTGCCTGTGCTCAAGTTGTTAAGTTGGACTCGTTCTTTCTCGGCAGTACTTARGTGATTAGTGTTATTCGTCCAGTCCCTTTCCGTGCGACTACAGACAGACCCCTGATGATTTCGGTATTGGCAGGCGGATGAAACGCAGCGTAGGGTCGCTGCGCCTGTTCACAACGATTATCTTACGATGCATATGGCAGGTTTTCACTGATAATTTTCCGGCCATCTGGTCACGTTTCGGGAATTTCGGGACTTTTGCTTCTCTTCTTTTCCCTTCCCTCGCTTCTACGTCTATATTCTCTCTCTCTCTCTCTCTCTCTCTCTCTCTCTCTCTCTCTCTCTCTCTCTCTCTCTCTCATGTGATGAGTTTTCCTGCTTTCAGTAATTTGTATTTTGTTGCTTTGGATGTCGGACTCGCCTATCCGTACCAGCAGTTCCAGCAAGTAAGGAGTATCTGACAGTCAAGGAGCTGAGAGGAACAGTCTGGAGAGGGCCCAAGTAGGTAAGTCACAAACACCAGAGCAACCAAAGAACAGAAGTAGACCAGGCTAACTTAGGCAGGGGTGAGGGGTGGTACATCCTTCCTGCAGGAAGTAATCAGTGCCGTCCCTGGGACCTTCCCACCATAAGGGGGAGGAGCGTGTGTGAGTGCGCATTGTATTTCATTTGACTTGCCGGTGGAATAGGAAGCGGACTGATGCTCCCCAGAATGGAAAAGGAGCCAGAACCGTAAGGTTCTGTTTAAAGAAAAAAAAGAAAAAGAAAAAAGTGGGGTTCCCAGGCTCAACTTGAATTTGTAATTGAATTGTGCACCTCCTTTTCACAAAAAGAAAAAAGATATTCTCTGTATTGTTCTGATGTGAACGGATGTTGCGAGGGACATTCAAACACATTGCAATGCAGGCAGTGCAGATGAGTTGTGCGTGTAGTGCCAAAAAGCCTGGTTGCACGCTGGTGTGACCGCGTGAGTCAGCTATTGAGCACTGACTGGATCCTTGGTATTGGCACTGCATTCAGACACTGTACCGACTGGGTATTGTGGTATTCAACATCGAGCCCAGACTCAAGATCTAAGTAATGGTGCTGATGGTACGGGTGAGTTCTTAGGTCTTTCCTCCGGGGTAGTTGTCAATTACCACAATGACCAGTAGGTACAGTGTCCAAATGCAGCGACGATACCAAGTTGCTGTATTTGGTCAGATCACGCGGATCTGCAGTAGGTGGATGGAATACAGCTGTATATTAGAAGGAGATTTTTTTTTTAATTTTTCAATGAAACTGTGTTACGTGGGGTCGGCCCCACCTATCAAGTTATGTCATACGACTGCAAATACTCCACCCTCCCCCCCCTCCCCACAAAAAAAAAAGAGAAAAGAAAAAAGGGGAAACTGTGGCTGCGACACACTTTTACTTTGAAATAGGCCAGAAAAGACAAAGTGGCGCCAGTGTCATGGTGTGAGTTTCCAAATGTGCAAAAAGTTTAACTGGGGGTCTAAAACTGTGCCAGTCATTACCCGCAGTGGTGCCTGGCAGATTTAGGGGGCTCACCTTTTTTGCTCCATAATTTCGGGAACTGCTAAAATTGCCTATTCTGAATGACCGGTGTGACTCCAACGTACTTGCCCCCYCCAGCCCCCCCCCCCCCCCMAAAAAAAAACACTGCAAACAAGGAATGGTATATAGGCGTATTATAGGTCCTATTATAGGATCTGGCTCCACCATTCTCTAACTGTGAAGCAGACTAAAAGATTGCAAGAGTGTATCTCTCCACGTTCTAGCTAAAAATACATTTGCGATTTTACACATTCGGTGAGCAGTGCGGCGAGGCTGATATTCCCACAAGGGCAGTTGTTTCTCTTATACGGAAAAAAAAGAAAGGGGAAGTTGGAGAGGGGAAGACACGTGGTCTAGCACTTCTGCGCTTGTGGGTCCCTCTCCTGCCTCCTACGAGATGCTTTCATGAAGAGATGCTCTCTTGAAAAAAAAAAACAATTGTGTACCTCTGAGAATTAACTGAACATAAACCACCGGTGTGTTTCCCAGCCATTTTTCTACGATGCAGCTGCATGCCTGCCATGTCTGACGGGATGTACCAACCACCGGTGTGTTTCCCAGCCCATTTTCTACGATGCAGCTGCATGTCTGCCATGTCTGACGGGATGTACCGGGGTGCCATTTCGCCGAAAATATATCCACGCAAATCGCACATGCAAGACCCGTTTTGCCTGGATGGAGTTTTTGCAAAGTGGGACCCCACTGTATCCCGCCAGATGCGGAGCACATGCAGCCGATGTACCGGGGTGCCATTTCACAGAAAATATATCCATGCAACTCGCATCACATGCAAGGCCCGTTTTGCTTGGATGGAATTTTTACAAAGCGGCACCCCAATAGATCCCGCCAGATGGGGAGCACATGCAGCCGCACCATAGAAAAATGGCTGGCAAACATACTGGTGGTGTAAATTTTAAATCCCTTTCGACACTTGCATCTCATGAGACACATAGAGGGAAACCAAGTTTTCCTTTTTTTCTTTTTTCTTTTTTTTTTCCCTTTAGGACAGTCCCAAAAGGAATTTTGTGATTGCCGTTGGTTACCCCTGAACGGCTGTGCCAATCGTTGAATTCGTAGAGATTGTGTAGAGATTGCGTAGAGATTGTATTTCAAGGGTGCGTCATGAGGTGGGTTGCCATTTACTGGCATTGAGAGATGAAAAAACCCAAAAAAGTTGTGTGGGCTTCTGCACATATTGGGCTTCACTACACCACCCCCCAAAACGATGGATTTGGGAGTCGCAACGCTGCCACGCCAGCTCCTGAAATCAGCACCTGAAGAAAGGTTTGGTAGCCTCAGAAGCAGGAACTAGCGCTCTCCTGTCGCAGGTCTGCCTGCAAGAGGACCACTTTCGCGAGACCTCTGAGGGTCCTCTTGAATTAGGCCTGGATTTTGAGACTGTTGTTGCGGCCGACAACAGTTTGGTGGTCAATTTTGCTTGTCTGCATTCTCAAAATCTAAGCTCAACAAATCACCATTTTGTTCGGGACAGCTGCAATTGGGGAGTGTAGTGTGGCAAAGACCTTTCTCGACACCCATTTGCTCTTGATTCTTTTTTTTTTTGTTTTCAGGAGTTGTGAGGTGAGGCCCATCAGAGTTGCAAGCTGCTAGCAGGTGCCGCTCCCCACCAATAGATGGAGCCCCCCTGACGGTGCTAGAGGCGTCTGCTCTTATCAGCACCTCTAGCAACCGGGCGGGTTGTTTCAAAAAAAAAAAAAAAAAAAAAAAAAAAAACAAGTTGCAAGCTGCTCCTCTTCGCCCTCCCTCTTGCATGGCTGCGGACCCTTCGGCGGGGGCCAACAGTGGAGGAAGGTGACTGGGTGGTTTTAAGAGGGGATGTAACGCGGGTGGGGCAAGTAATCACAGACAGACCAGGGGAGGTGCTGGTAAACTTTTTCTATCGAACATCGCAGAACTGATTGATCACGGGAGTGCTGGATGAAGTCTTCTGGATTGATGCTGGAATAGTCCATAGAGTGAGGGTCCTACGAGAAGGGGACTTCTGGGTGGCATTCAGGCCGGAGATGCCAATCCGGGAGCTCCCCATGGATGCAGCTGAGTGGAGATGGAGGGTTCCAACGAGGAACGACAAACCAAAATATTATTATCTCCACTCACTGGGGGTTAAGGCTTCCTATCGGATGCTTAGGACTAGACTCAACCTGAAGGACCGTATAGTGGATCGTTGGGCAAGACACTTAAATGTCCCATTGAATTCCCTGACACCCATTAAAGGGGTAAAGTCCAAACCGGCCAAGACCGCCTCACTCCAATGGCAGATCACACATCGCTACTTACCCACAAACGCATGGCTCATTGACCATACCCCCTTGGAGCAGAAAGGCTTGACCCTCCTCTGGTGTCTGGCGTGCAAAGAAGGTTGTCCTTCTCGAAAGGCTAATGAGACAATAGAACATCTTTTTTTGCAGTGCCCAGCTTCAATCCTGGTGTGCCGTGGGTGGGTTCGGATTTGGAACCAGCTAGGCAAGAACAGGGATTGGCCGTGGGAATGGAGAGCCCTGCTAACTCGGCATTAGACCGCTCAAACCTCGACCTTTACGACCAACTTATTTAGGGTCCGGAGGGATGCGGTACTATGGGCCATATGGCGTCGCAGATGCACTCTAGCACTTGAAGGCGCCCATGTGGAAAGAGGCGAGATGGTGGACATGATTAAAGACATGATAGAAACAGCAATCAGAGCCCAGTGGAAAAAAAACTGTGCAAGCGACGAACGCTCTCACAAAAAGATCAGACATCATCCAGAAACTACATGAATTCTGCATGGACTGGCTGGGGGGAGAACAGGGAGGATGGATAGCAAAGATTCAATGGGATGGCTGGCACCTGGATGGACACAT